AAGAATTTTTTTAATTGTTAAACTTGGTTGCCTAACAATATCACCACCATATAACCTAAGGAAACTGACAGGCATCTAATATAAGCTCAATATTCAATACCACTTTTACCCAAAAATGTCTGAAAGGTAAGAAGGTATCCATCTCTCCTGCAAAGGCAGAAAGCTATTCAGTAACATCTTAAAAATTGGTAACTAGTGTGTTTAGTCAAATACCTCACAAACAGGTCCGGATGTGCAAAAAAATCGGCATACATTTCTAAAAGAGATCTTCTTTCAAGAATGAATGTTGGAAGAACTACCTGAAAAACATACATATTTGACCAATGAGGATCAAATTCTACTACAGATACACAGATTGCTAAAATGCTAAAACAACAACAATAACAACAACAAAAACTCATTCCAATCATTATACCTACAACGGATTGCCCAGGCATGCTTCTAAAAACTATTTCCTAAACTGTTCTGACTTAGAAATGCCCATTAACCTGCCCAGGAGATGAAAAACACAGAAGGGGCTTTCAGTGTTCAAATGTCAGTTCCTGGGGCTAGCCTGTGGCTCACTCGGGAGAGTGCAGTGCTGATAACACCGAGGGTTCGGATCCTATATAGGGATGGCTGGTTGGCTCACTTGGGAGAGTGTGGTGCTGACAACACCAAGTCAAGGGTTAAGATCCCTTTACCGGTCATCTTTAAAAAAAAAAAAAAAAACAACAAATGTCACTTCCTCTGTGCAACCTCCCTTTCCTCCTTGACTATAATAACTGACAACACCAAGTCAAGGGTTAAGATCCCTTTACCGGTCATCTTTTTAAAAAAAAAAAAAACAACAAATGTCACTTCCTCTGTGCAACCTCCCTTTCCTCCTTGACTATAATAACAACAACAAACTACTCAGTAGCATTTCTTTAATACCTTCTTTCTGCTGTGGCATTACATACAGAATATCTTATTAAATTGTACGACACCCCTATGATGAATTATCATCCCTATTTTACAATGGAGAAATATGAAGCTCACAGAGGGTGAAAATTTTTCTCACTGCTTGATTACTAATGTGGAATTCAAAATTGAGTCTGTCTGACTTGAGGGGGGCAGTGTCTGAGTACTTTCCTCTCTACTGCTGCTTCTGTGTCATCGTTAGATAGGTGTGTTAGGAAATTTATCTATTCATTTATTTGTATCCTAAAATATATAATGAGCTCCTAGAATGCAAGGATCAAGTTTTATTCACACTTGCAATTTCAGCTACTATTTACATAGTAAGAAATTTTTAAATGAGCAATTAAAGGAATGAACAAAAGGAAGAGGAGAATAAAGATTGGGAATAAACAAATTCTTTCCACCATGGGGCAGAGCCCATGGTTTTATGCTCAGGGGCTGGGAATGTGGCAGAGGAAAGTAAGGGAAGTTGGAATATGGGAAGAAATGAGAAAGATGAGAATTAACCAAAAAAAAGGGAAAATCTTCATTAGGGAATGTGAATGGAAGAGTTTTTGAATGTGTATCGGATTATCAGTTACTCATTATAGAATCAGAACACCAGAGTAAGCAAAACTTCCTTTACATTTACTAATTACCATATATCCACTGTATTCAAGATCCTCTATTAAAAGCTATAGAGGAGGCAAAGGTAAGTATGAGAGGATACCACCAGCATTTAAATTTTAGGTGCAATGTGACAAATAACATACACGAGATGCTCAAAATACCCTGGAAGTTCAGTTGATGGAAAGATTATGTTCTACTTGGGGAAGCAGAATGAGGACAGAGCTGGGGACCAATTCATTCATGTGGCACTAGACAAAAGCCTTAGAGAAGAGTAAGGCTATAGCAGATGGTGGTGGGGGGGGAGACAGAAAAACAAAACATGGAGACAGGAAAAAAACAACACAGAGACAGGAAATAGGGTGTGACAAAGATTAACCAGTGAACAACTGTGGCCATTTCTCTATATACAGTATAAAGAGGCAGAGTATAAAGAGTTATTTATAAAGAGTATATAAAAAGGGCCAATGGAACGTAAGTTTGCAAAGGGACACTAGGGCTGTAACATTCAGAATTTTTATCATCAGACTCCTCCAACCTTTAAATTTTAAGTAAACATTTTCCTTCCACAGAACATGTATGGTTCTAATATAAACATGGTCAGATAAGCAGGTGAGCCTATACACTGACGTGGTGCAACTTCCTATCACTTTGGAGAACTAAGAAATTATAAACCACTAAGTAAGAATGCTAAAGAACAAAATGGGGTAAATACTTTTAATATATAAGCAGCTCTCAGAAATCAACAAGAAAAAAATTGCTACTCCAGTAGAAAAATGGACTAAGGAATTAAATAAGATATTAAATAAAAACAAAACAAAACAGCCAAAAAACAAAAAGAAGTTTGACATCACTTGTAATTAAAAAAAAAAAAAAGTTTTCTCTCCTATTTAAAAATTTTCCTGAGAACTCTCATTCAACAGACCTTCAATGATTTTAGCACTACACTGATGATGCCCTTTTGTCCAGCTGCTAGGAACAATGATGGAAAAACCGGTTCATGATATTGAGGAATTACTTGTAATTAAAAAAAAAAAAAAAGTTTTCTCTCCTATTTAAAAATTTTCCTGAGAACTCTCATTCAACAGACCTTCAATGATTTTAGCACTACACTGATGATGCCCTTTTGTCCAGCTGCTAGGAACAATGATGAAAGACAGCTGGGCTTCAATGTCTTAAAACTTGGATTCAAGCACTTGTTTTGCCACTGCTTAGCTGTGGGAGGCCCTGGAAAATTAACTCAGCTTCTCTAAGTTCCTGTAAAAGGAGGATAATACATGCCTTGCTTATGTTTCAAAGGCTAAGTGAGGAAATTGGGATGTGTCTTTGTAGTATTCCCTAAAAGTGTAAAATATTTGGAAAATAAACTTTTTGAAAAGTATCTGAAGTGAGAAAACATTTTTATAAATAGAAGAATAAGATACAAATTTAAGGTGTTACTGCAGTATTACTTTGGAATGCATAAAAGGAACTAAGATTTCAGAATCTGCTGGCAATCACAGCCATTTGTTTGTGTCCATAAAGATTTCTAAAAGGGCTAAATTTTAACACATTCAGTAAAAAATAATTATTATAATATCACTCATAATATAATAAACTTCTAGTGGCTACGGACCCAAATATGGATTACCTGCCAAAGAAAATCATGTGAGGCAAGAATTCCAAATCCAGTTGTGGCAGGCACTTTTCATTGCCTCCCCACATCCCCGTGTCATCTGTAGCAGAACTCTGATTCAGTTCAGGTTCTGCCTATAGGCTGCCAGGGCCCTCTCTCGGTTCTCAAGGGGCAAAAGTGGCTTAATCTAAACTAATCATCTTACCTTCCCTGGCCAGTGATTAGTTTAGGCATGAACACATGCCTGATTCTGGCCCATGAGATTCAATGGGAAGAATGAGGGTCACATTTGGAAAAGAATGTCCTTCTAACAACAGCAACAAAAGGGCGAGCTTTACTGAAGCCATTCTGGGACAAACTCCTGCTAATATTCTCCTACTAATGCATTCCTGGTAAGTATATTGGGCTTCATAAATTAATATTATCCTTGTCCTTCTGTTCTCAGATTAGGGGTAAAGGTTTGATTACAGACATCTTCTAGAAGGCATTATGGATTAGTCTTTTGGTTACTGGCTCTCTAACTCAAACAAAAATAAAGCTCACTAATGACAAAGACTATGTAGCACTGGAGTTGATTTTGTCATAACAAAAGTGAAAATCCTAAATTTAATTAACTTTCTAAAGCTGGGTAGAATAACTCAACCAATATGAAAGCTACTACAGCCCAAGTTTTCAAGACAAAGGCAGTAGTGGAAAGATTGCACGTTTTAAAATCAGACCTCATTAGAATCTGAGTTCTGCCACTTAATATGACTCAGTTAAGTTCTGCAACCTCTATGAGTTTTAGCTTCCTCATCTATAAAATGAAGTTAATAATAACATCTATTTTGCAGTGCTGTGGTGAGAATTCAGTGAAAGGATAAGGCTTTTGGCACAGTGGCAGGGATATATAAAGGCATACATACACACCAGTCTCCCTAATCGGGCATTCTGTTTAGAGCTCCAAGTTTAAATTCAGATTCAAATCCAGACTACAGTAATTGTATGACTCAGTATGTGCCACATAATTTTACATGCACTAAGTCCTTACAATAATCCTGTGAAGTAGATCACTGCATGTCCATTTTGCAAATGAGAACCCTAAAGATCACAGAGGAAGAGACTTGCACAAGGCCACATGGTTTGGTAATAGCAGAGGTAGGATGCAAACAGGTCTTCTGACCCCAAGATTAGAACTCTGCTCATTTTGATTCTGCACACACAACACTGCTTTAAACTTTACCCAAACTACTAACCAAGCCCAATATTATTTCTTGTTTAACAAGCCCCAACTAAAATCCAAATCTTAATCCATACAACCCTACATACTGTTCTCTATGAAATTATTCTAGCTTCACTTACTTCATGCACTTACCAAAATTTCCGGTTTACTCGTCTACATGTATATTAAAGCACAAAACACAGTATAAAAAAAGTTATGTCATTTTACTACATTTACAAGCACACTCACACCACACAATCACTGAGAATCCATGCACACACATTAAAACTTATAGCAAATGCCAAAGTTGGTTCTTACCTTAGTAAGATCCATTCCAAGCCTAACCTGTGACAAAAGGTGCATGATAACACTCTTGTGCTCCTCCACTGACCCTGCCTCCCCATCGTCATCTCTATCATCATGTGAATCGAAAAGGTCTAAAATAAAACAGATCTTCTTAGAGTGGTGTTATATTGGGCCAATCTGTGCTGCTACCAGTATTACAGATGTTCTTAAGGAAAAAAAAAATGGCTGCAGAGCTTTTTGAATATCCTAAAAACCACTTAATTGCACACTTTAAAAGGGTAAGTTTTATGTTAAGTAAATTATACATCAATAAAAATATATATATAAAAGGACAACAATAAATTTCTTAGGACATTTTTGTATCAAAAATTGCATTGTTTTTGCCTCTAAGAAGGAGACTTCACCCTTCAGGTCTCTGAACTTTCCAAATCAAGCCTATATATACTGGACAAATTATTTTTATGCAACAATATATTGTGATTGTTTTTTGGTTTTTTGCTTTATGTCTTTTTTCCATGTCCGGCAACGGATCGCAACCCTCGGTGTTGCTCCCGCGCCTCACTCAGCCAGTGAGCGGGAACCGGTCTGTATGTGGGATCCGAACCCTCGGGCGGCAGCGCCGCCGCGCCTCCCAAGCGGCGCACTATCCAGTGCGCCACCGGGCTGGCCCAATTGTGATTGTTTTTTTTTTTTTTTTTTTTTTT